GGCAAACCTACAATCTGGAATTCAATTATGTTCCTGTATGTTCTGTTCGATCTTCACTTAATTTATTTTTCTTTTTATCGTACGACAATACATTTGAAAAATTTCCTTCTTTTTTCCGATTTCCTGTTTTTTCTGAAAAATTCCTTTCCAAAATCCTTCTTTTTGGTACTCCTCCCCCCGCTGCGACGCCTGCTATCATATGAAAACAGTTGTTAGTGTAATCAGAGAAATGCAATAAGAAAGTATTTGAAATATTATAACGAGATGTTATTGATATACGATCTGTAATATTATATGAACAACGTCTGTCATGGTTTTATGATGTGCCGTTGTTAACGAAGAAAATACCTAAACTGATACCTGCTGTTTGAACTCATATTGCGCCTACAAGGACACCTTGGTAAGACTAGTAAAAGTCTGAAAGGGTTTGTGTTCATGTGCCTTTGGTGGAGCCGAGTTATATTTGTTTTACTACATTTTCGACTCAGTTTTAAGTGTACGCCGAAGAATAAAAAAAAACAATATTTTGATCTGAAATTTTCCCCATAGATAAAGTCAATAGCCTTTAGAATATACTGAAAGGTTCAGACAAAAAGCATGTTCCTTGATCGAGATATCTCGATCAAGGAACATACTTTTCAGTTGAAACCTTTCAGAATATTCTACTAGTCATTCGAGCTATTCATAGACGAAATTTCAGATCGAAATATCGTTATTTGATTTTCCAGTAAGTACCAAAAATTGAATACAACGGCCATAACCCGACTCTAAAGACTCATGGGGACGAACTCTTCTAGACTTTTCCTAGTCTAACCAAGACCTCCTACTGAATCCCATATAACCTCAAACGGTGGTTATCAGTTCAGATAGTTCCCTTGTGCGACGTCTATAACGTCTGTATGGCAGAGGGCAGAAATAAGTCCAAATTTCCACTCCTATGCATCAACACTCCTTTTAGATCGTGTTTAACAAAAAATATTTCTTATGTTTTAATACTTTGATTAGAAGGCAAAACTTGAAAAACCTCTTATTTTTATTAGAAAATGTTGTCGTCGATAAACTTTACTAACATATATAGAGCTTTTTACAGGTGTTTAAATACTCGATACACATCTTAATTTATTTCGCTGATGTTGAGTTGATTAAACAATTACATGAATAAATGTATTTAGTGTTGCTGCTCGATGATGCTGATACTTTAACGATTGCTGACGAGAAATTTTAGTGACATTTACTTGAAAAGATGATGTTCTATCTAAATTATTCTGTTTAACTACAATAAATAATTAGACATGATGCTAACCTTCCATTATTCTGATGCTTTTTTTGTTCATAGTTGTATTGATTTGTTTTTCACATAATGACTTAATAAAATAGCACAAGAAACCAAAAAAAAAATAAATAAAAATAAATTATTCTATCGTTTTTGTGTATAATAGCACAATATATAATACCTAGAAACATTCTACATATTGATAAGGCGAAAATTGAATTTTTTTTACCATGAAAAAAATAATAGATATATTGGCATAATAAATATGAAATCAAAAATAACTGAATGATTTTATTTCATCAACGTGAATAAATGAAATTTAAAGAAGATAAAATTGAAAAATATACATAAATACACGTGATGTCTATTTTTTTTTATAGTGACGTAAATCAAAGGGCAGAAAGACAAAAAAAAAGCCAAAAACACTTACGTGACCTCTATATACTAAAGAACAGAGAAAAAAACCTTCGTTTCTTTTTTTTCGTATTAAATTTATTGTAACAGACTAAACTTTGGTCTTTAACATTGGCATATAGATATCATCAATTATTATCTCATTAATAGTCTAATAGAATATTATTGAAGCAAGATGACACAAGCATAATAATAATAATCTATCTGTTTGATATCAATAAGCAGGCAAGAATGCTACAGAATAATATTATTTGAATCAATTCAAACAGATATATGAAAAAATAATAAATTCCGATAGATACTCGTGTTTTAATATTCTAGAACACAAAAACAATAATCTTATTTGTTAATCTTCTTTTTTATGATATTCTATATTAACATACGATAAAATTTTGTTCTTATTTAACTCGACTTTTTTTTTCTATTCTTTATTGTAGTTTACTTGATACACGAAGATAAATGTTACTTGGTATTATTCTTGCTTGTATTGGTGCTTTAGCATTATTAACTATTTTAATTTATCTTTACCGTCCATTATATCATCCAAAATATCTTGAAGATCTATATGATTATCATGTACTTATAACTGGTGGATCTAGTGGTATTGGAAAAGAATTAGCACGATTATTTCTTAATGAATATGGTTGTCGAGTAACTATATTAGCTCGAAATGTTGAACGTCTTGAAGAATGTCGAAGAGAATTATCTCCAAATTTAAGTGATCGTCTTTTATGTTTATCTGTTGATATATCTCAATCATATGAACAAGTTCAAAATGCTATTGAACATGCTATACATCATCATCAAGATAAACCAATTGATATTTTAATAAATAATGCAGCAATTTTTTATGCTAGACCATTTCATCAAACTAAACCAGAAGAATTTGCAGAGATGAGTAAGAATTACAAAAAAAAAAAAAAAATAAAAACTAACTAAACAAATGAAATTTAAATTTAGTGCGTATTAATTATTTGGGTAGTATTTATTGTACACAAGTATGTTTATCATCAATGAAACGTCGAGGTTCAGGTCGTATTGTTTTTATATCATCACAAGCTGGTCAATTAGGTGTTTTTGGTTATACATCTTATTGTTCGACAAAATTTGCATTAAAAGGTTTAGCTGAATCACTTCAAATGGAATTAGCACGAGAAAATATTTATATAACATTAGTTTTTCCACCCGATACAGATACACCAGGTTTTAAAGAAGAAAATAAAACTAAACCAAAAGAAACACAAATGATTAATGAAACATCAGGTGTTTTAACAGCTGGACAAGTAGCAAAAAAAATTATCCAATCAACAAGAAAAGGTTCATTTACATGTTCATATGGTATTAATGGATTTTTATTAACTTGTTTAACTTGTGGTGCTCAACCAGTTACTACATTTAGTGAAATTATTTTTCAATCATTATTTATTGGTTTATTAAGATTAATTATGTTAAGAGTTTTAAATTCATTTTATAGATTAGTTAGAAAACATAAACAAATACCATAGATGAATAATGGTTATTTATTTACAAAAAAAAAGAAGATGAATGAAAAAAAACTTTTTTATTTAATATAATAATAAAATGGAAAAAAAAGACTATCATGAAACGAAGACGAGTACTGTATCAGATATTTAATTTTATTTGAGAATCATATGAAGACCTACAGTAATTTAATACTTCAAGGTATGAATGCGAAGAGACGACATTGATACTCACAGCAACACTTTTACTCATACTTCATACTTCCATCCGCACTCTTTTTCTTTTCCAATACAATAAATAGTTCTCAAACTCCTTCCGTTAGTGTTGCAACGGCAGCAACAATTAGCATGACATTGAAAACAGAACTTTGTAGAGCCTATCAGGTTGATCCCGGACTCGACAGACTCTAGCACTTTGTCTACGACAATTTTTATCACTTGTTTTTGGAAGTCAAACTCTTCTCGATATCATCATTGATATTTCATACTATTGTACAAAAACCAAACATGGATCACAAGTGAAGTATGGAGAGACTCTGAATACTTCAACGGAATATAGAACTAGAGACAGTGACAAAGATATTTTTGCTAATCAAACAATCTTTTGGATTAAATATTACATGAGTCACAATTGGAGTTGATGTAAATTATAGAAACTTCGAAAGTCTATTTTCATGTTTTTCTTATGCAGCATTTATTTTTGACAATTGTAATCACTTTCGTCATTAGATGTATTTTCATTATCTTCACCTATCCTTATATTATATAGTATCGCTGTATGCGTAATTTGTCGCTAATTTACGGCGAAAAAGAAATTCGGAATTTTTTTTTTCGGAGTCAAAGTTAAGAAAAGATTGGTTTTGCAGGTCTCCAATCATGGGCACTAATACATAAGTTTACTTATAAATAATATTAATTTCGTACTTGACATCACCATTGAGAATTACTCCTAAGGAAGAATAAGTATCATAGTTTAAACTTCTATGACTATCAAAAAAAATCATATTTAAGTCAGAAAATCTTTTGCTGAACTGTAAAAGTTACCCATACAAACATTTTATATATACATTAAGTATTAAGATTATTCAACAAGGTTTATTTTCAATTTTTTCCGCTGTCGTAAGTGTTCGAAAGAAAATCCAAATAGGAAAAATAGTTTCTAATCGAGATATTAGAAAACAAAAATTATTATCAGATGTGCAAGGATAGAAATTCTAGAAAACTAAAACTCTAATTTTTCCACACCTAGAGCACGTAAATATAATTTTAATTTTTCCTTATATTCTTTTTACACAAAATATTTTCTATTTGAATCATTTTTTTGGATTTGCTTTCTAACGCTCATAGTAGCAATGAAAAAAAATGAAAATAAATCTTGTTAAATACTTTTAGTATTCATTGTCATGGAGTTTCTAATATTTAGCATTTCTTGTGATGTCTCTGAATCAGAATATAAATTAATAGAAGTTACTAAATATAATTCTCTAAGTATTATAATTGAGTCTCTTCGATCGTCTGTATAGAAAAAAAGAGGACAGTTGTCGCTAAAATACTACAGATTAATTTTTCACTGGTTCCTATCAGAGAGTTTTTCATATCCAATAGGAAATTCATTTGTTAATTTCCATATAACAAACAATATATTCCTATTTTAATCTTATTCAAGAAAAAGTCATGAGTGACGATCAAAAAGATCTTATATTTCGTGATCGAATTGATGCTGGTTGTCAATTAGCTGCTCATCCATATTTACAAAAAATTAAATCTTTACCATCAAATGAAAGAAATTCATATTTAGTTATAAGTTTACCACGTGGTGGTACTGTTGTTGGTGATGAATTAGCTAAACAATTAAATATAACACATGATTTAGTTTTTCCAAGAAAAATTCCATGTCCTGGACAACCAGAATTTGCTATTGGCGCTGTATCAGAATTAGGTGATGTCATTTGGAATGATTATGCTAGACAAGAAAATTTAATTGATAAACCACAAGTTCAACAAAGTAAAGATAAACAAATTGAAGAATCAAGACGACGAAAACAAATTTATCGTGGTCAACGTAAACCATTGAAAAGTTTAAGTGGAAGAACTGTTATATTAATTGATGATGGATTAGCAACAGGTAAGTAATATATAATTCATTAGATTTAATTATTAATTTGTTTTCTTTTTTGTAAGAAATTATATTTGTTTTCTTTAAAGAAAATATTCAGTTTGAATTTTTATTGAAATTTTTACAGTTTTATTCTTCTAATTCTAAATATGGATCAAAGGTCAATGCGTACAAAATCAACTTTGTCCTCTAAGTTGACGGAGGCGGTTTCTTAGTAATTGAGAAAGATATTAAGCAAAAGTCAGAACGCATCTGTAAAAATTTTTTCAAATAATATAGATTTTAATTTCACATATCAATCCTATCAGAGTTGTATTGGTAATTGTTATTTTTAGGTGCAACAATGAAATCAGCTATTAATACTTGTAAACATATAAATGTTAAATCAATAATTGTTGCTGTTCCATGTGGTTCAGCTGATCGTGTTAAAGATATTAGTAAATCAGTTGATAAGGTTATATGTTTAACAACACCATATGGTTATCATGCTGTTGGACAATGTTATGATTCATTTGATCAAACAACTGATGAAGAAGTAATTGAAATAATGGCTAAATATCAAGATTTAAATAGTGAAAATATTTCAAACAGGTATTATTAATTATTTAAATATTCATAAATTGTTTAATTATGGTTATTAATTTTTGATATTGAAAATTTTTTATTCTTAATATAATCTATGGTACAAAAGTCTTGGCATTAAATGGAAACTGATGAGAGCTAGAAGCAGTTAGTTACAGAGATGGAACCAATACTAGTAGAGTATTCATTATCGGTATGTCTTATTTATTATTCAGCTCTTATTATCTTATCATAGGAGATGTGAAATGAAACTTTATTGAAAGTTGACTACGTCAAATATTATCATCCACAGATAGAATAGTACAACAGCTCGTTCGTATAGATTTCAGATCGGTTCCATCTCAGGTTAGTTAAAATCAGAATGTTTTGCTATTTTCAAATAATATGTTCAGATTGTCTTTCTAGAGTAGGATTGAACAACTATCAATTAATTTTGTGTCAAGACTTTTGCACCATAATTTATATATATATATTGGTATGGTTCTTTGATATTAGAATCGAAATGAATTCGAACGATCTACTGATGATACTTGAGTGATGACTTTTTATTTTGCGGTTTCATATTTATTATCATTCTAAAGACTGCATAGCTAATCTTTGAACTATTCATCTGGAGATAAAATGTTATTTGTAAGATTTAATAAAGACCGATTCGTGTAACGAATTTATTTCAGATTCTAAATAGATTTTATTATTTCATTTGTCTGTGAAGTCCAAAAGGCGTGGAGTTTCTTTGCTATCGATTATATCACTAATGAATTAATCATTTTTTAGTGGTAAAAAATCGATTAAAATCGAATTAGATTCTCAACATGTTTTACATGGTGATTTAACATTAGTATCAAATTCTATTGGTTTAGTTTTATTTGCACATGGTAGTGGTAGTTCACGTTTATCACCTCGTAATCAATATGTAGCTGAACAATTAAATGCAGCAAAAATCTCAACATTTTTACTTGATTTATTAACTAAAAATGAAGAAATTGAAGATGATAGAACACGAAAATTAAGATTTAATATTCCATTTTTAGCTGATCGATTATCACAAGTTACAGATTGGTTATATCAAAATAATAAAAATATTCAAAATTTATCAATAGGATATTTTGGTGCAAGTACAGGTGGTGCAGCTGCTATTATAGCTGGTGGTATTAAACAACAAAAACGAACAAAAGCAATTGTATCAAGAGGTGGACGACCAGATTTAGTTCCTAAGGAACAATTAAATCAATTAACTGTTCCAACATTAGTAAGAAAAAAAAATATAAATAATATTTTTTTTTGTTCACTTTTCATAACAATATATCATGTGTTGATACATCCATAAGAAAATATGAAATGATGAAAAGTAATCTTTAATATTGACAAATAAAAACTTGTCTTATAGTTTAAAAGAGAGGTTCTCAGATACCAGGTACTTTCTTTTTTAATCGATTTTTATCAGTTTGTAAAGAAGAATGAACTCTTTCACAACTTGATAAGCTCTATAAAATTAGTGTAATAAGAACCGATATAAGATCTGATAGAGATTGTATTAGAGTACTTTAGTTCTACTGATTCATCAGTTCGAAAAAGATTTTGATTTTTCTTTTTTGTATTTATTTTAGTTAATTGTTGGTGGTGCCGATACGGATGTAATCAAAATGAATGAAGAAGCTTATTCACAAATGACACAATTGAAAGATAATGAAAAGCAAAAAGCTTTAAAATTGGTACCAAATGCAACACATCTATTTGAGGAAAAAGGAGCTCTTGAACAAGTATCACAATTAGCTGTACAATGGTTTACAGATAATTTTCAAAAACACTAAAAACAATAAAATAAATCATTTTACTATTCAAGCTGTTTATTTTTATTTCAGCAAGTAATATTTGACGGCAGATTTTTTTTTTGAATAAATTTATCATTAAAACAGAAGAATTGTATTTCATTTGTTTTTCGAAAACTTTAACTAATATAAACCATCGTGAAAAATGAATTAGCGAAAACTAAAATAATTACGACGAATCAATATAGAATTATGTTTCATCCTTGTACTTTGTATGGTGTGATAATGAAACAGAAAGGGTCATAGGACTTTCGACTGCCCGGCCGGAAAATTGCTTAAATCAAAATTCTGACTTTCCGGTAGAAGATCACAATGAGAAATTATATTGTTCTTATGTGTCTCTAAACTTGATAACGAACCTTAGTTAGAACATTCTGTAACTATGTATATGGAACGATTTCAATATTGATTTATAATCATTATCTTTCTTTCAAAAGTATTAAATTATCATCAAGTATTTTTCAATCACTTTTCAGCTTTTAATGTGACAATGTATTGTGTGAGAAAAGAATAAAATATTCTGATTTGACATCAACTTTTTCATCAATATTGTTTTCTTAAGTTTGAATACTTCTCATTGTTAGAAAACGGGTAATATAATCCAAATATTAATAAAAATAATAATAAATTACTTAATGAATGTATATTTCAAGTATGCAACATTACTGCAAAATGTGTGTATATTAAAACAAAGCTAAAAGTCTTGAAAACAAAATGAAATCAAACCTATACATACTTGTGTTTTGAATAATTCATAAATCTGTTCTTCTATTGAGCTTAGGCTTTTATCATTGAATTGAACAATCTACAGAATATCAGCCTATAGGAAATAGCCTAAGTTTTGAAGAATATTTCGTGACGGTTGACAATTCTATCAGATCAAATGGCAATCTGATATGCTCTGTACATTTAGAGACTTCTATTATTAGGGTGTGGGTGTGGGTACGCTGTTGAAGACCAGAACTACACCCACACTCTTAATAATTTTATCTTCGTATGTCGTAGCTACATAATAGAATTTCAACAAACTGTTATCAGCTTCTCACTTTGATAAGAGAATGATGAAAAAAAACTTATATTTGGTTTTAGTTGCAAAAAAATGTGTACAGTCGTTTCTTCTCATCAAAAACATTGCGTTAAATGAACTTTTAGTTCAATGTTAAAAGAATAATCAAGTTTCGATTGATACTTGAGAATGATAAAATACTTTTTTTTTCGAGAAAAGAACTCGGTTAGATGAAAAACGAGAAATATCGTACAACACTCTCAAATTCACAAATCAATATGAAAAAGTCACATTGACTTCTGCTTTTCTCGAGAGGATGTGTAACAAAAAGACTTAAACCCACCTACAAGATAGAAAAGATGAAAACATGTGAATCATAGCTCAAAGCATTTACAGAGGTAATGTCGAAGCAAGTTATGGAATCGAAAGGCATCATATTTATAGATTTACGGTAACTGAAGTTCTTTCGGGAATCACATATTTCGGGTGTGGATGCGGATATCAGTTACTTTTCATCCTCACATCCATATTCTTATGCTTTAATTAAAAGAATCGTAATTCACACATGAGATAATATTTTCTGTTTCACCTTCGAAATTTCATATATCTGAATATTATCATTATTTGATGTATGAGTCATCATCTTTTATTCTTTAGACTTCTGCAGAGAGTTGTTAAAAAAAAGAAATGTTTCATCACGTGAAAGAAGGACAAGACTCGTTCTGTTTGCTTTTGTAAGATGAGAAAGTTGTTTTCAATAAGCATTACATAGCAGCCACGGTTACATCAAAAACAAGAATGGCAACTGCCAATAAACACACTACCGACGATTACAATGCATTAGAAAGTCTTGTTAAATGTGCCATGTGTTTGGATTATTACAAAGATCCTCGTGTACTTCCATGTTCCCATACATTCTGTTATGAATGCCTGAAAAATTTGTGTCGAGGAGACATTGCCTATTGTCCAATGCGCGACAAAACAATAATCAATTCTTCCACTATCGACCGATTACCAGTAAATCGAATAGCTAAAGACTTGGTTGAACATATACAGCAATCAGAATATAAGTCTTCTACGATGACAGTAGCAAAGTGTGAGAATTGTCAACATATGTCATCCGACTATGTTTGCAAAACTTGCTCAAAATCCTACTGTACACTATGTCTGAAAGAAGGACATGACCTAGAAGAATTTGAAACACACAAAATCCAAGTTCTTATCAATGATCAGTTGAATATTCAATGTTCTGGACATGAAGATGAAAAACTAAAATATTGGTGCATTGATTGTGAGAAATTAGTCTGTAGTGACTGCCTTGTCTATGAGCACAAACAGCATACATTCGTTACTTTAAATGACATGGCTCAAGAAGCAAAAACAAAATTCAATTCATCAATGCAGCGATTGTTATCAATGAAAGAGAAATTAGAAGCATTACTCGGAATGACACAAATGGCTTATCAAAAACATCAACAAACATGTGTTCAATCAAAGACTGATATAGAAAAAATAATGTCAAACTTTCAAAAACTTATCGAAACACAAAAGAAACAATTGATCACTAAAATAGACAGTAATAACACTCACTATGAACCAATTATTAAGCAACAACAGGAAGATATTGATGAACAGCTTAAAACTGTTTTAATTAGAATATTATTGACAAAACAAATGTGTAATACGTCAAATCTTCATCAAATTATCAAAATGAAAGGTGATTTGATTACTTACAATGAGCTAATCGAAGAACAATATGAGCAATTAATGGAAGGGTGTATGTTCGACATCATGCATTTTGTTCCCGACGAGAATCTATCGCAAATCAAACAATCATTAGAAAAATTAGGCAACATATCAGTAGAGTCATTTTTGACCGATAGAAGCCACATTCAACCGTTGCTAAAAATCTCTGATGCATGTGATGATGACGACTATATTGCATTGAACGGCACCCATGCTTACGGTTATCATTTTTATTTAACAACACCACTGAAATTTCAAGCTGTACGTGTTAAGTCGAAACTTGTTGATAATGATCTTAGTATTTACATCTTAAATTCCAATAGTATTTTAATTAAGACAGAAACAATTCATGTAAACAATCGAAATACAGAAACATTCAAATGGTTTGCTATCCCGATTACTTGTGAGATTGAAAACAATTATTCGATTTTGGTTTGGGCAAAATCTAATGAACAAGAAACACCATTATTGATCACCAGTAATTTTGAGGATCATAATTTACGCCGAATTAATCAGAATGTATCTGTTCGCAATGAACATGCTCTCATTGACACATCGCAGAGTATTGAAATCGGTATGAAGCTTAATGTGGTCTATGATGCCCTTTCAAACAATGATTCTGATCTTATAGAAACAATACCATGTATCAATATGATTTTAGATATATAGACGATTTTTCTTTAAGAAAGACTTTGAACTTTGTATGTGGTTTGATAGCAGTATTACCATTTTGCATCGATGCAGTGTTGTTATACTCATTTCTTAAAGACAATGTTGAACATTCAGAAAAACGAGCGTTTGTTTCTTTTTCTAAAAAAAAAAAGATCATTTACAAATATAGACTGTTCTTTTTTTATGATATGTTTATCTTAGTGAATGTTAGGGTGTGGGTGTGGATGAAGTTTTTCTTCTCTGCACACTCATCAAAACAAACACACTCGCACCCTAAATCGATTACCGCAGTGCAGCAACAATGATAATTTTCGATTCGTGTGAAATTAATTCTATCTCATAGGATACCTTGTTCTAGGTAGTGAGCCAGATGTTTATCTCTTGTAAGATATCTCTCGATGGAGCTTTTATGGTTTTTCGAACAGTTTTTCAACTAAATCTCTCTGAGATGGAATTGGTATCAGTTGCCAGTCTCACTTATTAACTTTCCTGCTTTTATTAAAAAAACTTATGTAGGAAATTTGTTTTTGGATGCTGATCATATCAAATAACCTTATCAAGAGATAGAACTAGTACAGATTTTTAGACTGACAGATCCATCTGTAGTCGGACCAATCTGACTTGTTCAGATCGACATTCGTACTGGTCGTTAAAAATCTTGATTGTTATCATTTTTAAGATATTCTATGTATTCTATAGGATCACAATAGAAAAAATTACCTTTTCGATAAATTCCCTTGGAAGAAATGGATAAGATATCACTCAAATATTGTTTTGTGAAACGTAATCTAAAAGGAATATTGAAGTATATAGGGTAGAAATCTGTACGCTCCGTTCCTCAACAGACTGTGACAGACACGTTACAAGTGGTTCATCACAAACGTGAAGGATGTCCCTAGAAATGTCTCTTCTTCATCACAGATCGTGGTAGACATAACCATAGAAACGTCACAGATCACATATCCATAACATCTACGCAGTTATAATATATAAGCTACTTCCTTCTTGCATTTCTATCGAATTAACTAAAAGAATGATGAAGAAATATGTCCCAATATATGTAAGATAAAACAATCTCCTTGTGATTAGCAGCAACATCGTACTTCATATTTTAATCCCGCATGGATTTTACTAACAGCTTTTTAAACACGACTAAACCTGAGAAGTGTTTCATTGCACAAGTAAAACTTTGAAATTTCTCATTGGATAGAGTCATCGTAACTTGCAACGGCTAGATCTTTTATATGATTTCTTTATTATCTATAATTTTTCTCGTTTTAATAAAATAGGATTCAAAAAAAAAACCGATCAAATCTAAATAAATCTTTGCAAAGAAAAAATAAATATAAAGCATTTAATTTCTAGAATTAAGCATGCAGACAAAAACCAATACAACTCATTATCAACCACATTCAGATGCATAACTAACAAAAAAAAACTATAGTTTATATGAAAACGTATTGTCAATTATCTCATAGAAACTGTTCACAAAGTTTAGAAAATAAAAACAATAGGATTAAATATTTAAAAGTCTTTTTCCAATATCATCATCATCATCATTTATTATTGATGAATCCCAATCTTCAGAATTTTCAATTAAGAAATCAATTGATTCATCTAGATTAAATAAATAACTTTAGATAAAAAGGAAAATTCGATTATAAATTTCATACTTTTCGTTTCTGAATTCACACTATTCAAATTTATATATACTAAACAAAAACAAAAATTTAGTATATGATTATTCTTCTCAAAATTGTTGATCAATTTGATTATCTTCTGTTGAAATCTTAGATTTGATTGTTTCACTAAACATTATAATTCGAGTTATATATTTTCCATTTTGTAAGTCAACTTTACAATAATTTTGTAAATGTCGATAAAGATTTACTGAACAAGGACAAGTATTAAACATTTATATGGTACGATATCAATTTCATTGGCTACTGTTGTATTCGTTGATCTCAGTTGTTTATTATTATTGAGAATAAGATCGTTTATTGCCATTGTTTCTGTATATTAATTCGAATAGAACGTATTAGACGAAGTGCAAGTTCATCACTCATTTCATGATAGTGTCTATAAAGAGGTGTTGATTAAGAATATTGATATCTTTTTTTTTTGAATGAAATAGGTCGCTCATGAAGCCATGTTGATAGGTATTAATGTAATTTTTTTCTTACGCAATGGTTTGTATACAGATGTCATTTGAAAAAAATTTATTTATTGTAAATTTTATACTAACAAGTTCAGATAGATATCATACTCAGCTAGACTTTCACCTGTCTTTCATGAGGTACGAGTATACAGTATGTATCAATGAACTTTTTTTTTTTATTCGATGCGTTTTTTTTTGTTTATCTTAGAAGACTTTTAGTTGAAGTTCTCGGACGAATTTGTATTTTGAATCTACGATTTTAGCTGTAAGAAGAGAAAAATGAATATGTATTTCTGAAAAACAATAAATTCAGTCGAGTTTTTGAGAGGACGGAATTTCAGATAGGGATCAAGTCTACCTCATTAGTCGCCATAAAAAGCCTTATTTCTATGAGTGATTGGTACACTTCATAGTGCTCAACAGTATATCGTTCTGTTGGGTACGAAGCCATTCCTCTAGTCATTATAGTGGCTGAGATCTGATGAGAGGAAGACTTTTTGTCCAGGGCTGTTTCTTACGTTTCATAAAAAAGATTCAATTTTTAGATAATCATTCATCAAAGATTCATTCAACAACAGCATATTGTTAATTATATGTTAATCATAGGCTTTATTTGGATAATCATTTAAATAGTAGTCGTGGTCAGAAAGGTGTAGAATGAATTTTTGTTCAAATAAAATATCATTCAAACTTTGGATAATATATTAAAAAGCTTGTTGGGCAGATATGGAATATTCTTATGAAAGGTATATCCGAGCCTATTAAAAGGATTAGACCCTCTTAGACAAGGCTCTTAAGAGAATGCTTTAAAATACGTAAGATATTTCAAAAACGCAAAATGCGTAGTTGATGCTTTTGACGTCTATGTTTTCTTACAAAATATTAAAATTCTTTGTTGTTTGAGTTTGCATGAATAAGTGACGAAAGTTGTGGGTATTTCTACAGAATATGCACTGTTCTCACTCACAAAGTGATATTCGTGTGCAATGCAATGTGCATGTTGATAAGAGTCTTGCGTATGGTGTAGAAGTACGAAGCGGTGGAAGATTATATGACTAAATAATACAATGACAAAGTAGCTACACTTCTGAAGGACTTTGTAAACAAAAAAAAAAGTTTGTTTTTACCGAATAGGGAACTCTATCCATATACTGCGCATTAGATGATATTATCGACGAATTACATTGCATAGTAACTTTTTCTTTTCGATGAGTCATACGAGAGTTGTACAACGTACTCGAAATAACATTTTCCACTAAGACAAGCGAAGAAAAATGTAAATTCATTATGGAGAGATCGAAATAAACAAATCATGCTTTTGTGAGTTTTTTACCTTGGTTCTGAATAATTTTGATTATTTATCGCATCATCATCCTGAGAAAATATTTTAAGTCGGCAAAAATGATTTAAATGATTCAGTCGTTTATAAACATGTTGAATAATGTATTTTTCGTTTTTCTCCTCAGTTCTGATCAGTTTTATTTTTTTCATCCGTATTATTTCAATTGACTATCTCGTTCGTTTTCATGATTCGCTCAATCAGTCATATATTCATTTATTTATTTATTATAAGCATGACTTAACTCTATAACCATGTCGGTCCTAAAAAGACAATAGAGTTCAATGTCATTTGTACCATTAATTAAATGAAATGAACAACGATAAGAGGCAAAAGATCAAATACAGTAAGCAACAGACAAACCAGAATCATAAAAAAAGAACTATATAGAACAGAGGGTGTAGAGTGTGGGTGGAATCTTCTCTTCATCCACACCCACACTCACAACTTATATAGACTGAAACCTGATACGCATAATACTTAACCGTTCGCTCAGTCATCCATGAGAACATGATTTCTAAAACTTGAAAAACTCAGAAGGTGTTGTGCTACTTCTTGTTTTTCTTCACAACAACTATTTGTTTAATATTGTAGAAAAATTGTATATTCATTTTTGATTCTCAACAACGTATCGTACATACATAGTGTCTATTTAATCGTGATATCACAATGTTGCCATCATTCTTTTTCATTGCTTAACTTCCTGTGAGGATAGTGGCGACGTCCAGGATAGCTGAAGGGGACTGAACTCTGCCAGCGGAAAATTATCGAGTCTAATTGTCTTGCTAAGAAACATAAGAAAACAAGTAGAGCGTAAATGAGCATGATTATTCTTCACTATTTGATAGTACTTAGAGACATATGTTTTAGTGGCAGGAGCAGGAAATGTTTGGAGAGGACTCGGTTTTATTAATATTGATATTAATAAATTTAAAAAATATTAAAATTGGAAATAGTACTTTTCAAAAGAATTTACTGTAACAATAATCAATGATGAAGTTGAACAAAAAGAATACTCTACGAGATTGCATGCAAACATTATCGTGAGAAAATATTGAAAAAGCATGGAAAATATGTCAAACTTTTCAAAGTTTCTTTATGTTCACATATTTTTATAGTGCGATGATCGTCATACTACTTATTGATTATATTCAAGAATCCTAATTCTAGTTGCGCATGTTAAAAGTGATATAATTGTGCATAGATCATTTGAATTATAAGTGGTAGTTTTTGGAAAACTATAGTGCTTATCCTTCTGTTAAATAATACATTACACAAAAAAGGACAAACAAAAGAAGCAAATCATATCATGTCAGCCAAGCTTGGAGCGAAATTCAGCCATGGAGAAGTTGGGATCAATCTTGCGACCTTTAGGGACCGCCGCCTCCTTATGTCCCAAGACACGAGCAGCGGGCACACCGTAAGCTTTTTGAAGAGCTTTCACACCTTTCACGTAACTCTGGTATTGCACTTCTGGCCAGTGCGCATGTCCGCTATCGGTAGCTGGTAAACCAGTTCCTTCGGCTTCGATTCCGATTGCGTTACTGTTGCCATAGATGGAGTCATCTATGGTGCTGCCGGCATGATAAGAACGACCTGCTGCAATGACAAACCAAGTTCCAGTACGGCCCAATCCGAGCTGTGAAAGCGGACCAGCAAGACTAGAAGTACCGTCTCGAACGACCGCTAATGAGGGAAAATCGCCTGTCGCTGGACCTGCTGTATGGTGAACAATAATACCCTTTACTGAACTCATCATACCATGTCCACGAGTCTTCCAGCCAGCAACTTCAACAACGTTGAGACCAGCACCTCGAAGTATATCAGCCAAACCTGTAAGCATCGTGTTAATTGGCTTACTAGTGCCAGGATCAGTTGGAGTGGAACCTCCTCCCTTGCAGCATTGTATATTCGCAGCGCCAGGGCAAATACCCCCATGAGGTGTTCCACCACCAGCTCTACAGGCTGCTGCATCCTTACATGTTGTACTAAAAGAATATGGTTAAGTCTCAATAGCAGCGGTGATAAACAGCTTACCAGCTACAGCATTGAATGTTGGCGACACCAGGACATAGACCTACTTGAGTTTTGCCACCCTTATTAGCGCAGACATTCTTATCGATGCAAGCGTTTGTAGACCAGCATCCTGCGCCAGAAGTTACTCGCAAGTGAATACTAGCGAGACAAAACATCGCAGTTAAAACAGTGATACTAAACATCTTATAATCACTGCTAGAAGTAAACGATGGCAATTGAGTAGCTTCGACCTAAGGAAATAAAAACAAAACGTTTTTGGAATTAATTAAGTAAGTGGTAAGATGTATGAAAGTATAATGTTTGAGTGAAAATACTTACTTTGATTTTTGAGATACACTTATGGCACACCAGCGATCTTATATATACATTTTGATAAAAAAATATTAAGGGATTAAATTTTGATACTATTGAAAAACAATCTGATCAAAGGAAGCAGCGTTGCCGAGGCAGTAGCGCTGGCATTTTTCGTATCACGTTCGTTTTTCATTGGTAGCGCAAAAATTGCTTCATAAGAGGAGGATTAGTCAAGCAGATAGTGCCACTTCTACATCTTCAATTATCGATTGAGGGTGTGGGTGTGGGTCTCTAACGTATGTTACACACACACACCCACACCCACACCCTTCTCTTCTATATTATACTTGATCTTGCAACTCATGTTTAATTATTAAATAACTGTTTCAATAAATGATTATTGGATTCAGATGTCTGCGAAGTAGTAAACTACACATAGTGTCTGAATTCGTAAGAATGTAGGTCTACAGTTCACTACTGCTAGATATGTGGTTCTATAGGTGATCGTTCCTGGAATAGATCTAATGAAGTTAATTCAGCCACAATGAAGATTAAGATTTGATTGAGCACAGTAACACGCGTGTATAGAAAAGAATGTTAATAGATCGTTTGATTTCAGGTAAATATGATAGTTGGTAAAATGGAAAATGTTCTTTTGAAATAAAGCTGTATATAGTCTACCAATTAAAATGTGTGTAGTTTGAAGCTTCATAAAAAAAAAGTTTTTTTCTTTCCCGTGGTTTGTGTTTTGTACACAACTCACAAAAAAAAGAATCAGCATAATTACACCTATAGAGTTTTATGAAATTTCATCATCACGACACATTCATTATTACACAACTTCTATAAGTTTTCATTATACGTAGAGGATTGTAAATAATGAATAAATGGAGGTCCAAAATGGATGAATTATCAGTGTGCATGACTAGTGTAGTGTAAGTAGGAGATGGCTTGTTAACAAAGCTGCCGTCAATGAAACACCACTCGGCCATCATATTGCAGACCTCATTCAAATAACATGATCTCCATTTTTTTTGTTGCTGATCTAATTGGTTAATGTTGTTGAAGAAACAAAAAGGGTGTGGGTGTGCGTATAGTTCTTCTATCATCTCACACCCACACTCACACCCTCTTTAATTTGTTGAAATATAACCCTAGTAGACATTTATGACACGATTTTTGACTATTTTCTTGATGGTGGGTATACAGTGCTCAAAAGTCGAACCAGACTAACTTTACTATAGTTCATCCGAATGAGCTAAAATTCTGGGTTTGGTGGTTTTAGACTATGGTCTTTCGAATACACATAAAAAATTAAAAATTTAAATTTTGACCAGTGCCTCGGTTCCTTAGCCCCATCATGGATGCTCTCTTAATAAGTTTAATTTTAGCACTTATCGAAAACTGTTTTGCTAGCTATTGATTATACTCTAACATAAACACATCCACACCTGACAAGATTCTTTGCCAAATTGAGACGCACTGTGGTAGCTTCACTTGATATTTCTTGTCTGTATGTAAAATTTATTAACTTTCGACACATACCCACACCAAAAAAAAGTTAAAATAAATATTAGTAGCACTAAGTAGAAGTTAGAAACAGTGAATGGAATTAAAAAAAGTTCAAGGTAAGAGTTGCGACATTAACAAGTCTGTAAGAAAATTTTTAGATTGTCAGCTCCTTCATTAGCGACGGCGAAATCCAGCTTTCCATCATTGTCCAGATCACCAACGGAAATCGAGAACGGAAGAGAGCCATAACCGATCGAAAAACTTTTTACATCAGTGAAGGAGCCGTTTCCATATCCAAGCAACACACCGACGTTGCTTGTGCCATAATTGGCGACAATAATGTCCAGTAAGGTGTCGTTGTTGACATCACCAACGGCAACCGCGCTCGGCTGAGAACTCAAACCAGTTGAAAACGTTTTCTGACTTGAAAACGAACCATTACCCCATCCAAGAAATATACCAACAGTGTCATTGTCATGATTCGCAACGACGATATCAAGTATGGTATCGTTGTTGAAATCACCAACAGATACCGCCCATGGTGAAGAATCAGTTGGATATGTCATTTGATTTGCGAAAGAATTATTGTCATATCTCAGAAAAATACCAATGTTGTTGGTGCCTGAATTTGCAACTGCTATATCTATTTGACTGTCATTGTTAAAATCTCCGATGGCGAATGACTTAGGCCGAGATCCATTTTCAGTTATGAGCCTCATTTGGTTTAGAAAACCTTCATTGGGATGTCCGAGATATACGCTAACACTTGCTCCATTCGCATTAACGATGACGATATCCAGTCGAGTGTCGTTATTAAAATGGCCAACAGCTACAGATGTGGGACTAGTGCCAGTTGAATATGTCATTTGATTTGCAAAAAGGCCGTTGCCATATCCGAGAAGGACACTGATAGTGTTATCATTCCAATTAGTAACGACGATATCCAGTCGGTTGTCGTTATTAAAATCATCAACGGCTACAGAACTTGGTCCAGAGCCAGTTGAATATTTCGTTTGATTCGCAAAAGAGCCATTCTCATATCCAAGAAGGACACTGACAGCGTTGTCACCATAATTAGCGACGACGATATCCAGATGGATGTCGTTGTTAAAGTCACCAACAGCTACAGAGCTGGGCCTAAAGCCAGTTGAATATATCGTTTGATTTGCAAAAGAGCCATTTCCATGTCCGAGAAGTACACTTATAGTGTGGCCACCATAATTAGCGACGACGATATCCAGATGGGTGTCGTTGTTAAAGTCACCAACAGCTACAGAGTATGGTGCAGAACCAGTCGAATATTTCGTTTGATTCGCAAAAGAGCCATCACCATATCCAAGAAGGACACTTACAGTGTTATTGTCACCATAATTAGCAACAACGACATCCAGTTGAGTATCGTTGTTAAAGTCACCAACAGCTACAGAGTATGGTGCAGAACCAGTTGAATATGCCGTTTGATTTGCAAAAGAGCCATTTCCATATCCGAGAAGTACACTTACAGTGTTGTCATACCGATTAGGGACCACGATATCCAATCGGGTGTCGTTATTAGAATCGCCAACAGCTACAAACCTGGGCCATTGGCCAGTTGAATACGTCACTTGATGATCGAAAGACCCAACATCATATGTGACAAGCACATCTACATGATCGATGCCATCATATGCAACAACAAT